CTCAGCCTACAGCCTCGGTCAATCAATACCTCACCAGGTCTGCATCGTCAAAAGTACAGGGGTATTCCTCATCAAAATTATATATATCTTTTTTATAACCAGATTGCTATATCATTTAAACTTGTAGAAATAAGACTGCACAGTTTTGTTGCAGATATTGGTAATGATACAAAAATTTCAGGAACTGGCAAAATTTTGACGGCTCAAGAGTCTCAGTGACTTGGTGAAAAGTAGGTCAATGATTAACTATTTGAGAGTAATAAAAAAAATAAATACTACAGACATAAATAAAGTAATTTCAATAAGTGTATTGTAGAATGTTTTTTTTTGCCTAATTAACATCCAAAAAGACACAGCTTTATGTTGAGAAATTGATATATACTGATTCTATTTAAAGGTATTTGTTGCTATGTAGAAAACTTCTGTTGCTATGGATATACTAACTTAAAATAATTTTAAAACCTGGTTTGACAATGCTAATCCCGAGAAATAGGAATAAGAATCAAATGATCTTTTAAAAACATCGATAATTATGTACTAAAAAACTTACAATGCTTCTTTGCTAAGGAAAATTTACTGTTGCCATGGAGATAGCTTATTGTAAAATAGTCATAGGTACACAAGGAAGACTATTTTATATTTTATTTTTTTTAATTGATTTTGGTACTCAATGATTACAATTTATGTGATTTTTCTACCAATGCCTTAGACTTTCACCATTTTTAATTTATCAAGCCATCCATTTTTGTTGCTTAGCAACAGGTAGTAAATTTCGAATTTACAAAACTTTTTATTTTAAATTCTAAGAAAGCCTTTCTTGTAGTTTTACAGGAAATAGATTAAACATTTGTACTAAGGTAGTGAAACGAATAATATTGACTTGATTTTTGCTAAAAATCAAGCAAAATGCTGAATCAGCAAAAATGGGAAACATGTATCTTAAGCTGTATCTATATTAAATATATTAAAGAATGTAATTTCTTTTTATTACGTTGTCATAGCACTTCATGAGTGTATCTTTCTTGTGAAACTAAGGAAGAAAAGAATCACTTTTTAAATTTTTTTGTACAAAGGCTTCAAAATGGGTGAAATTTCGTAAATATATAAAGAAAAATTGGCCTGTTGCTAAGGAAATTTCTTTGTCCAGGTTTCCATAGTAACAATGACCCAAATTATTTTTCCTTCCGCATACATGGCTTATACCCCGAGAAAAATCTGTGAGTGAAAAATCATTAATTTCTGAGAACCTCATGTATTACCTCCTGCCTGATTCTTACGTGGACCTGTACTTAAGACTTGTTTTCTAATACATTCTTGGTGCCCACGACATGCGATAGCCAGTTCACATTATGACGTCATATTATGACGTCATCGACCTCTACGATACAAGTTTATAAAAACATCAACAAAATGGATTCGGCGCAAGTTATTGACAAAATAGTTGCTGAAACAGGAATATCTTTTAAAGTATTCATTTTGTAAGTTTTATGGTCGATACAATGACGTTGTCAGCAAATACAATTTATCATTGAGTCAAATGACGTTTTTTATACTTATTGTGACGCGATTATATACACACTGAATTTTTCCATTATTTCCCGATCATGACAATGAGCACACGGCGGGTGTGACCGAACGGCGTCTTCATGGCACATGATTCCACCTCTGATATTAATGCAGACTTACAAAGTTCGTCCTACAACCAGACGTACAATCAACTTTCAAACAGAGGAAGGTTGCTAATTACAAGTTGATGTTCTAGATCTTTTTTAAAACACCTATAAAACCAAATTTGAGAAAAATTCCTTCGTCTTTAAATTGGGTAAATTCCTTCGTCTTTATAAGTCGCCCGCGTGGCGCTGAGGATAGAGCGTCTGGTCTAGAGACGCCAAGTAAGGACTTGATCTTTACGTCGTGGGTTCAAATCCCACCGTGAGACCGGTCTTTCGGAAGAGACCGTATAAACCGAGGTCCCATGTCGCATTAGGTGCTGAAACCAAAAAGATCCCTCCCTGCTCAATGGCTCTGAGTGCCGAGTATAGAACAAAACTTAATATTTCAGCTCTACATTGGCATGTGGTGGCGTCTCCATATGAGTGAAAAATTCTTGAAAGGGACGTTAAATAATACACTGAACCAAACTTCTAAGTGTTCACTTAACAATTTTAAGTTTTAAAGAACAAATACATGGAATAAATAATTCCTTTTATTTGTGGTTAATGATACATATTTCAGTTCGATGTTGCGTAAATTTCATGTAGGCGGACATAATTTTAAGCAAAGTGTCAAGGACATGACGTACCCTCAAAATGAAAATTTACATGAATTAATCTCTATGAAGTAAGACCAGCACTGGCTCCAATTACTACAAGACATCCTTTTCTCATAGATACCATGTACCCGTGAATAGGAGATTGACTCATCGGTTGTAATATCTACTGCTTGGATCTTTCTTAACCGTTGAAAATGTGTGGGAGGTGAGGGGGCTTTGACATTCATTATAAATATCCCAAATGTGCTCAATGGGATTCAGATACGGGGATTTAGCAATACATCATCACACAGATGTCTTTTGGTCAATATCCTAGGACATTTAGCTTGTATTTGCACCGATTTAAGGATGATTCAGACTTTTTGGTGATATTAGACTGCCATGAGCACCAATTACTTATAATTTTCTTACCGTTGAAGTTGTTAGTTTTAATGTTTCTAAAATTGTTTCTGGACAATGTAAAATCTTTTAATTAGTTTTTGACTCGAAACCTTTGTCTCAGACAAAGATCCAGTTTATTTCAAATCTTTGATAGATGGCGATTAAAATGACGTACAAACTCTAGAAACATGTGTTTAAGTGTGTTTTTATACTGGTTGTTAATTTTTAAAAGTAATATCAAGGACAAATAAACACTAAAATAAGACTGAGTAAAATGTGGTGCAAGGATGAAACAAATATCAACGTTCCAACGGATCTCCTACCTTTCTAAATGGTTATTATGCCAATGTTTTGTGTTTTTTAGCTAAACTAGTTTTTTGAAAATTGATAATGGTCTCAAAAAGATGCTTATCAGACAAAACACGTGCAGCAAAAAACAGATTTACTGCTTTTAAGCTTTATCACGGTACATTGGTTTTTATCGTTGATCACTTATTTTCTTTCGACAATTGTTGAGAATATTGATTGGTTATAATAATTTCAAAATATTATACCATTCAATCATGTAGTTTTTAAATAAATCGTTTATTAGAGTGAACACTTAGAGGTTTTGTTAAGTATATACAATCATTCGTCTTTATAATGAATTTATGACCATGACCTTTTACCCTCAAAATCAGTATGGATCTTGCTTAGGCCAAACGAATTTGTGTAAAATTCCATTGTAAAAATTTAAGCTCACAAATTTCTCGAGAAATGGCACGAATACAAAAGTGTTACACACGGACAGCTTAACGAACCGAACGAAATTAATTTCCCCCACTTTCAGTGAAAGCGTCAAAAAGCGTAAGAAAGCAATTTTCTTAGTGATACATTGTATTTGCTGACAAGGTCATTGTATCGACCAAAGAACTTTCAAAATGACGACTTCAATATGAAACATAATGGAGATAACGAACAGTATTCAAGATCAAAAGTCCATACAACAATACAAAATAAGAGCAGAGCAAACACGGACCTCCAAAACATCAGAGGTGGGATCAGATGCCATTGAGGAGTGAGCATCCCCTGCCGACTGGTCACGCCTGTCGTGTGCTCTTTGTCATCCGTCGTCACTTCAGTGTATAAATAATATAATGGACTAACAATTAGTTTTTAACTAAAATGATTCACAAATATTATTTAAAGTAAATATATTTGACGTTTTGAATGATAATAAAAATTTATGTTAGAAAAATATTTTTATAGACATTTGCTCACTATTCACACAACCCATATGTTTAGAATTTTATAAATATGAAAAATATTATGCAAAAATATATGTTCAAAACAATAATCTTAGAAAAGAAGTGTTGCCATTTATATAAATATATCAAAGATGATATTCACATTATAAAGGAAACAATAACTCTATACACTGCATTCTGGTAGTTCACGATTTCTATCAGCTTGTGTCCTCGAGTTCTTCCATTTTCTGACATATGGCTGTCTTTCAAAAATGAATACAAAAATATTATTAGTATTGCTTTCTCTTTGTCATGAATTCATCAATTCTTTATTATTTATCTAAAATGCTGATTGCTATATTATATTGAGAAAATTTTCATATGTGACAGTTATATAAGATACACGTAGCATTGCATGTGAGGGTGTGTGTGTGTGTGTGTGTGTGAGGGAGGGTGTGTGAGGGTGTGTGTGTGTGTGTGAAAAGACAATTTACTGATTGCTTTACTTGTACATGACGTGTATTTTTAACAATTTTTAGTAATTTATATTCACTTCCATGTAAGAAAATAACCCAGATCTATTGATGGAAAGCACAACGACGTATCCTAACGGATGAATAAGAAATGAAGACAAAATGTTTTACTCCTTTTTCTCTCAAAGACAAATGATAATAAATGAGATTGACATAAGAAATAATATTTTAAAATATTGATTTATATTTTTCAATGCAATTTTTTTTTAAACAAAGGATTAAATACCTTTCTTTCTTATTACAGTGAATCCTCATACAGGCCTTACAACAAAACCTACCAAGAAACAATATTAAGTTTTATAACGTGTTTGAAACGGAGACAAGATTCATATTCAATTCTTATTTCTCAAATCATTTTTTTTATCAATTTACCTGTAAAGAAAGAAAGGGGTTATCAACAGTATAACAAATCCACTTGTAAACAGCACCAAGAAAACTATGCTTCTTACATTCTTTCTCACTTGTGTCTGAACTGTAGAAAGGTAATTTTTCTCCATAAGAAGAAGAGGGTATAAAATCGGAATGAACAAAATATACATTATACACATAAGAACTTAAACACAACTCATGGTATTTTACCTGAGCAATTTTCTCCAGAATGGCCGACATTACACTTAAGACATGTGCCATTGTTTATTTCACAGCTTTCGCAATCAACATGACAAACATACTGGCAAAATTGACCATATCTGGACTTTTTACATCGGGTACATTTTTTATTCAAAATGTTACATTCGGTACATGCTGAGGAACAATTTCTACATGTACAATTTTCTGAAACATGAGACAAAAATGAATTTAAATATAAGAGCAAATCCACTTTCTTAAACGTGTCGATTTTATTTCTGTTTGTGTTGAGCTTCTCGAATTAAAACCATATTATATTACATGTCGATTCTTCGATGTATCCTGGTGAGCTTGAGATAAAAGATATCACAGAGTCTGACAAATCTGTTTCATACTTGAATATTTTACTTGAAAAAAACATTAATTATAGTCTAACAACCCAGTTCTATGATAAACGTAATTATTAGTACTTTTACTTTTACTTTACCCTACTTATGCAGCAATATACCCTCATCCCCTGCATGCGGAGTTTATATATCTCATTTGATTCGATACGCAAAAGCATGCTCTACGTATGAACAATTTCTAAAAAGAGGGAAATTATTCACAAACAAGTTGATGAAACAAGAATTTCAACAGTCTCGTTTATAGTAATTGTTTTTAAGTTCTACTGTCGATACAATGACCTTCTTTGCAAGTACAATTTATCATTGAATCAAATGCTGACTGACGTTTTTCATACTTATTGTTAGTCCATTATTTATACACTGAATTGACGACGGATTTTCCCGTTATTTCCCGATCATGACAAGGAGCACACGGCGGGTGTGACAGGTCGGCAGGGGATGCTCACTCCTTCATGGCACCTGATCCCACCTCTGATGTTTTAGAGGTCCGTGTTTACTCTACTCCTATTTTGTATGGTTTTATGGAATTTGATATTGAATACCGTACCGTTATCTCCATATCCTTCATTGGAGATAATAATTATCCCTAGTCTTACAAAGGTTTTGCACGAGAACGGAAATTTATATGAGATTGATAAGGAAATAATAATTCTCTTTTTAAAAAGTTTAACTTGAATTTCTGATATTAAAAACTCATAAAATACAGCTGGACATAGGTTAGGTAGAGGGGATTTTACCAAACTATTCCCTACCTTTCCTGTTCCTAGATTCAAATTAGTGATTGAAATGCTTCTTTTAAAAGCTAATCCAATTTATACTTTACACTGTCATTTACTAGAAAATTGGCATTGCTTTCCATGGAACCCATCTTTACATCTCGAACACTCTCCTGTCAGCTCATCACATGATCCAGGTACACATCCGGAAGAACACTGTTGTTCACACCAGACCCCGTAATGTAATCCATCACAAGATTTACAGCTGCTTGATGGAGTACACTTTGTACAGGGAATACCAAGGTTGTTAGACTCACATACTGCAAGAAATTGCAGAAAACATCACAAAAAATAATTATTAAACAAAGCATATAAAACGTATTTTTCAATTACTTCGATTTTATAAAAAAAAAAAAAAAACAAAAAAAAAAACAGTCATCTTTTCCAAAATGTGTCTCTAATCGAAATTCACATTCTAAATTGAATGATACAGTTAAGATATTCATACCCTTAAGATTAAAGTCACACAGTTTCAAAATTCCAAAACTTGTCTTCTTAACGATAATTACATCTCCGTGTAGGTCAGGTTTACATGCGACAATGATATTTAGTGTGGAAAATTCAAAGGGCAATTGTATATGACCACAGTCTTGTCGAATGGAAGTATCCGAAGCATTTTGAACTTCTATAGTGTATCTACCTAAAGGATTTGAAACCTAACAATAATTATTGATAAATTATAAATAAGAAATTACAATGTAATATGTTCAGATAAATATTTACTTGCCTCCATTTAACCGAAGATAGACACCGGCAATAGTCAGGGACTGGTTAAACTGTATCCTCCAATACTCTCCAATGTCCTTATTTGTCACGGCACAAGTTCTGTTGTCATCATCAATGGGACTGTGAGCTCCATTATAGGCCAAAGGAACACTGCTTTGTGAGACTTTATATCCAACAAAAGAACATACCCCTGAAATTCACGTGCTGTGTCGAATTTATCAATAGATAAATAATTTTTATCTAAAAATTTTACAAGAGGCACTGACTAAAAACCCCACTTTAGGGAGGCGACTGGTTTTCTTTATGGTGATAAAACTACAATAGAGAAACTCTTTAGTTTTATACATTGACTTCGGTCCACATGCCAAGTTACAGGAAAAACTACTTCGGCAATTTTAAGAGACCGTCTCAAAATAAGATACATTAACCATATGATGATATAAGAAAGTGCCAATATTTTGCAATTTAAAGCAAATTATACAAATACTGCAATGGACTTGCTATTTCTTATAACATTTTCACTATTTGCTTTTAATTAAAAAATTATATGATAAATAATGCTTTATTGTACATTATGTTTAAGAAACACAAAATTGTGCCGTCTTGTTTCCAGAGAGGCCAGGCATCTCAAAATGTCAAAATTACTACTTAGTACTTCAAATATGACAGATACAAAGAATTTCTACACAAAATAATTTTCAAAAATGATTAAGAGATTCTCAAATTTCTATGTTTTAAATTTCAATTACTTAATATATTTAATATTTTTTCAGTTTATCATAAAGTCAAAAACAAACTATTTCGACGTCAATCAACCTACCATTTTTTAAAATCCAGTAATATAAAATTGTAATTAAAATTTTCGACATTTGATATCTTCATTTTATTTTAATTTTACTAAGTTTGTGAAAATAGTTGCTTTTAAACCGTAAATACGATTTATTTAACTCTGAAGTATATACAATATAAATCCTAGTTGGCCCCTTTTACAAAATGTTGCTTGCTAAATCTCCATTTAAACTACTCGACATACATGTATTTATGTTATATAACAGAATATGGATGTGTCAAAAAAATCAAGTTCGAAATTGTTTTTTCAGTGGTCCAAAAAATAGAAAATGCATACCTTTAAATTCATTGATGAACAAGAACAGAGCAAGTGTACATTTTGAAGCTATCTGGTCAGTGAACCGAGTTCCAGACATTTCCTCCTTTATTTGCTTCAAACGATCTAACTATTGTGTATTTATTATTTCTTTGAATTTATATGTTTCTGAGTAACCCGGAAATATTTATGGATTTTAATTTAATTTACTTCAAGGGTTAACAAATTTTGCAAGAAACATAGGTGACATAGAAAATATTATGGTGTTATCGTATAAATGACAAAGTTTTATTAATTTTTGATACACCGAAAAAAAGAGAGAGGCGTGTTCATAGCAATTTTTAGGAATGTAATGTCTGTGTATTATTATATAGATAGAACATTTCAAATTGTACCTTTCTTATTACACTATATGGATAAATTCACTATATTTACATATAAATAAAAAGTCTGGAACATTTGTGAATCCATTCCGGTTGCAAAGCAGATTCTTCAGCCAGGTTTCCGTAGTCGCCGGTAAAACTAAGTTTGCGACCGTTAAATCAGCATTAACGGTAGCAAATATTAAATTAGAAGATAGTTATTCCCTAATTTGCATTCTCTCTGTTTTCTCTCACTATGAGCTCTATGATAAACGTGATGACTTTAACTTTTCTATCGTCAACTTTCCTTACTTATACAGTAATATATCTTAATGTATCTTCATCATCTGCGTTAGGTGTTTATATATATATGGGGCGGAAGTGAGTATCCTTATAAAAGTGAATTTGTTTGTGCTTTCTATATTAATATTTCTTCACATAGGGCAGTTATATTAGTTTATGAGTTGTTGTAAATAATATTGTGCTTTATAAATAAAATTAATTTAATCACAACATTTATTGGTAACGATCCTCTAAAAACTAATGTCCAAATAACTGTATCTCACTTCTATTCTCAATGACCGTGTAGTGTAGGGCAGCGTTGTGAGAATTCAATCGGCATCGAAAGCAAGTTTTTTAACTTGCCTAGATAGCCGAGCGGTCTAACGCGCTGTTCCTGCACTGCTAGGAGACAGATTCCGTAGGTCGTGAGTTCAACCCCGGGCTGGGGCGGAAGTGAGTATCCTTATAAAAGTGAATTTCTTTGTGCTTTCTATATTAATATTTCTTCACATAGGGCAGTTATATTAGTTTTAGAGTTGTTGTAAATTGTGCTTTATAAATAAAATTAATTTAATCACAACATGTATTGGTAACGATCCTCTAAAAACTAATATCCAAATAACTGTATCTCACTTCTATTCTCAATGACCGTGTAGTGTAGGGCAGCGTTGTGAGAATTCCATCGGCATCGAAAGCAAGTTTTTTAACTTGCCTAGATAGCCGAGCGGTCTAACGCGCTGTTCCTGCACTGCTAGGAAAGACAGATTCCGGAGGTCGTGAGTTCCCCGGGCTGGGGCGGAAGTGAGTATCCTTATAAAAGTGAATTTCTTTGTGCTTTCTATATATATATATATATATATATATATATATATATATATATATATATATATATATATATATATATATATATATATATATATATATATATATATATATATATATATATATATATATATAATATATAAGAAACTGGACTCTGACCCTACTAAAGAATTCTCCACCGCCATTACCAAAACTCTTGACGATATGTTTGAGAAAAATGAGATTGGTATCAACGTCTAAGAGAACTTAAATCCTATTGACTGTAGATCAGGACAATTCTATCTGCTTCCTAAAATACACAAAGAAGGCATGCCAGGTTGCCCAATAGTCAGCGCAATTGGACACCCCACGGAGAAAATTTCTGAATTCATTGATTTACATCTCCGTCCACACGTAGAGAATTTGCCATCCTATCTCAAGGACACCACCGACTACATTAACAAGACGCCCTCTACTGGCCTCCCAGATCATACCCTCCTCGTGACTATGGACGTCACATCTTTGTACACCAATATTCCGCACGATGAGGGTATCGAAGCCTGTAGAGAAGTCTGGGATAGTAGATCCATACAAATTCCTTCTACAGAGTCCCTTGCTAAGCTCCTTGAACATGTTCTCAAGTTCAACAACTTCATGTTTAATGGAGAACATTACCTGCTGGTTAATGGCACTGCTATGGGTACGAAAATGGCACCTTCTTATGCCAATGTCTTCATGGGCAGACTGGAACGCAACTTGTTACTTCAAGCACCATTTAGGCCCCAGAGCTGGTTGCGTTTCATTGACGATATAGAGATGAAGTGGGTGGAATGTCGCGAGAGCCTCGAGGCATTCATTACGTTTGCCAACACCTTTCATTCGTCGATCAAATTTACAGTAGACGTATCTAATTCGGAAAACGTATTCCTAGATACTACATCTACCCTGATTGATGGTGAAATCGAATTTAGTCTCCACACCAAACCCACAGACTCCCACCTATATCTTATGCCCTCTAGCTGTCATCCCCCACACACTTTTAAGGGAGTGCCTAAGGGTCTAGCCACCAGAATTCGACGCATCTGTTCGTCCCCTGCCTTATATCAGGAGCAAAGTGGTCTTCTTAAGTCCAACTTATGCAAAAGAGGCTACAATGCCCGCACCGTACAGACAGCTATTGATGAGATGGCGGGACATGACATTCAAAACCTATTACGCTACAAGGAGAAAGACAATAGCGGCAGGGTCCCTCTGGTAACCACATACCATCCCGTCCTTAAGAACCTTAGCGGTATCCTTCAAAAGAACCTACCAATTCTCCATTCAAACAAACGAATGGCAGAGGTCTTTAAGGAACCCCCATTGGCTGCATACAGACGCCCAAGGAACCTAAAGGACATGGTAGTAAGAACCAGACTGGACAACCCATTACCTAACGGGGGCTTTAAAACTTGCTCTGACAGAAGATGTCTTCTTTGTAAGCACAGCACTTACACAGACAGTTTTAACAGCCCTGTTACAGGCCGCAGCTACAAAATACTAGGGAATTTGTCCTGTCATACTGACAACTGCATTTATCTCATCAGTTGCAAAATTTGCTCCAAACAGTATATTGGTGAAACAGGAGATCTCCGCAGGAGAGTCAATAACCACCGTTCGACCATTAGGACCAAAAAAATTAATGAACCCGTTGGGGAACATTTCAACCTTGAGGGTCACAAATTGGAGGACATGACAGTAGTGGTGATTGACCATAACCCAAGATGGACAGATGCTCAGAGAAAAAGCAAAGAAAAGTTCTGGATGCACAGATTGAAGTCATTCCGCCCTAATGGTATTAACAAACTGAATGACTTCACCAGAATGAACGTAAACTAGACCCAGTTCCTGATGATACTAAACAAGATTATTCTCTCAATTTAGTGTAAACTCTATAGTTAATTTGCGTCACCAACTCTCGAACAACCCACATAACTATGTATTGCGTACGTGTTTGTTAATTATTTTTTTCCCGGTAATAAGTCCCTAAATATTTCAAAATTTATAATTGATCATAATTCAAATGTTTAAATATCTCTGCTATATTATTTTTCTTTGATTATTCTTTATTAAGTAAAGTTATGCCATTTTGAGAGAATGAAACAATGTACGATTTACTGATTGTCGTAATTAATTAGCATAATTAATTCGTTCAATTATGTAAATCGCACTTCACCCGAGTAT